AAAGCCTTGGCCGTAAGGGGCACCACGACCTGCTCGTCAACCTGTCGTCGCCTCAGCCGTGTCACCGAGGCCTCGTAGGTGCAGGCATTACGTGTCAAGGGGCTTGTTCGCACGCCGGCGACGCGGTCTGCGGGCCGGTCCGCGCGGACAGAGGTGCGCGAAGACTCCCCTCCCCTCCCCTCGGCCCCTCGGCCCCTCGGCGGCGTAGTTGCGGTGGCACCGCCGCCCCCTCGGCCGCGGACATAAATCCGCCCGGCACGCGATGTAGCTCACGGCCGCGGTGACTGTCCCCCGGACGACGGCCGCCCTTTCTGGAGGAGCGGTGACTTGCGCGCCGTCCCCGAGTGGTCCATGGCTTGGTTCATGACTCGGTCCATGACCCCCCGAATCCACGACTCATCGGCTCCCCGGCGGAGATCGCTTCGTTTCGCCTCGTCCGACGCACTGCACCGGGAAACTAGAGCTAATCGGGCCGAGAGAAAGGGCTGCACGCCGTAAGCGCTGCAGCTGGACAAGCAGCGCTCCTTTCTCTCGGGGTCATCGCTCAGCATCGTCAGCGCCGCCCCCGGCCGGGTCATCCCTCCGTTAACCCTCCGGCCGGCAGCAGCAATCTCTCGTATAAAAGAGAGATTTAAGCCCCGGCGTGGCGCGCGCACACACACACACACACACATGCGGCGGTGCGTCACGTAGGGCAAGGAGGCTTCCCGGAGGCCGGAGCGGCCGCTGGACCAGCTGGGCCTCGCGGTGACGCAACGGCCTCTTTTTGCCCCCGCTTGGCGCTCCGCTTGGCGCTCCGCTTGGCCCTCCGCTCCTCGCCGCGCGTTACTTAATTCCCATTTCCGCGGCCAGCGCGCCCAAATCGCGCGCCACGCGACCGGCACGCGACACGGCGGCCGATACCACACCGGTAGAACGCCGCGAATCGGAGAGAAAGAACGCGTGGAACGTGAAGCAAACGCACGGCGCCAGCAGGCTGATTCCAAACAGTGCTTTCGTCGCTCTGTCTCTCTCGCGCTCGCGGAGGGCGTATGGGTGCGGAGCGAAGGGACACTGCAAGCGGAATCAGTCTGATGGACAATGCGGCGGCACCGATGGAGCCAGCGTGTGCAGCGGCCGGGCGTTGTTAGGTCAGACCTCGGCGTCGATCCCCCCCCCCCCAAGGCGATGGAAATTTCCCCCGGCCGGCTTCGATGCGGTCCAGCATCAAGAGCAGCCCCCCGCAGGGCCGCAGCCCATGCCGTTCGGCGGAACGCGGCGAACCGACTCCGTCGCGCCAACAGACAATGCGCTTGAGGTACTCCTTCTCGCGAACCGCGGATCAGGTGTGTCGCGTCGCCAGGGGCACTGGGAAAAGGGGGAGGGGGAGGGGGCAGGGTCGTTGTCCACGAGCACGCAGTGACTCACACCCGCCGCCGCATTTCGCGGGGAGGCGTGGCGGGGCGCGGGGGAAACTCACTGTGTGTGTGTGTGTGTGTGTGTGTGTGTGTGTGTGTGTGTGGTGTGCACTGGAGCCACGCGGCGACCCCGACGCGGCACATGTACGCGTCCTGCATAACGCGGTACTTCTTGGAGGCGAGCCGAGCCACGCCCAGGCGGGGCGGGCAGGGCGGGCAGGGCGGGCAGTCCGGGCTGTGGGGGCATACGTGACGTTGGCGGGGACGGCGGGGCCGACCGGGGGGCGGCGCAGGGAACACGGTTTGCGGTTTTGCCGGTTTTGCGGTGCTGCGGTTTCCGCGGTACATCGAAATTCGGGGCGCATAGCACCTGGCGGCCGCGCCAACGAGTTGCCCGCGAAAACGATCGACGCCACCCGAAGCGAGCTCGAAGGTGCCCGAAGGTGCCCGAAGGTGCCCGAAGGTGCCCGAAGGTGCCCGAAGGTGCCCTAAGGTGCCCCCTAAGGTGCCCGAAGGGGACGTCAAAATGTTGCGCATGCACTGTGCACGCACACCACATGCATACTGTCTCCTCTCTCTCTCTCTGGTACACTCACACACCCGACCGTTTTTATGAAGCTCGTCTCACTCAGTCATGTGGGTGCGTGAGTGCATGTCTGCTGGGTGTGTGCCTGTGTGAGTGTGTGTTTGTGTGGACCCGCGTCGGTGTTGCGGTAACCGCAGCTGGTGCAATTTCAAAGCGCACTCGCTTATGGGCCTGCCTGCCTACCTGCCTGCCTGCCTGTCTGCCTGCTGCCTATGCCCGGCTGATATTTTTGCAATCGCCGCGGCGCAAGCCGAAAGGCACACACACACATGCACGCAGGCACACACACATCATTGCCTGCTGAGACGTGACAGGACGCGGCCTGACGGACGAATAGCGTGACGGCGTGCCCTTCGCACACACATGCACACACACACTCACACATGCTCGCGAGCGAGCGCGCAATGCCCACATTCCTGACTTTCGTTGCTTTGCTTTTTTAATTTCTTTCAAGTCATGTTGTTGAGCCAAACAAACGTGATTTGTCGTGTCTCTGCTCCAGCGCGTCCCCGTGCCATCCAGGCGAGCGCCTCGGCCCGCCCCACCCCGCCCCACCCCGCCCCACCCCGTCCACCGGCGTGGTGTGTGCGTCACACATCCTCACCCAGCGTCGTGCCGCGCCGTGCCGCGCGACAGAGATGCACAGAGGTGTCCCGTTCAGTTGGGCGCGGCGTGACAGCGTGACCCGGTGCCGGCCTCACCCCTCCTTACGGCCCTTCGCCCCTTATGACACGCGTGCCGCTAACTTGAACGCCCCCCGAGTCCTTTCCCTTCTCGAACCTGTTTGCGTTGCGCAAGTCGGATTGATGTCGGTCGCGCCGCGGGGGCCGCCCAGGCCGTGGCCCAGGCCGCCACTCTCAAAACGCTCCGTCCATTTATCTATCTATCCATCCATCGGCGCCGGTTTGAACGGTTTGAGCGACGTGCGTGTACGTGCTTACGGTAAAGCGGGGCCTTGACTGCCAACGACAGGGAAAACCCGCACCGCGACATGCAAGCGCGTCAAGCGCCACATGTAAATCAACACCCGGCGGCGCCCGGCGGCCAGGAGAAGAGAGGACTGGACAAGGCAGGATGCGGCAGGATGCGCGAGCGGCCAAGGAGGCAGGCACTGCCGGCCACTGCCAGAAGATCGCTTTGTCACTCTGTCTCTCTCGCACACCTACGGACAGCCCCATGAGTGCGACAGAGACAGAGCGACGAAAACGACACTCGGCTGGCGGGCGCGGGTACTCGGCACTCTAGTGCGCGCATAACCGCCTGATGACTTCGGGAAGAGAGGAGGCCAGAGGCCGCCGCCGAAGGCTAGGAGGGGGCTGTGAGGAGCAGAGTTGTCCGGCAAGAGGGCCACGGCCACGACCAAAACGCTCCCCGACCTGCGATACCAATAATTCGGCCCGCGGGAAACAATACAACCCGAGGCCTTGCTGAACGGTGTTGCCCCTCTGCCCGCGCCGGCCCAGCCTGAGGTCCTGCCCTGCAGACCCACTCCATGCGCTCCAGGCGAGGCCGCGTCGACGTCACGTGGCCGCTGGCCCTGCTGGCCCAGCGCTGGAGCTGGAGCAAACAGCAGTCCTTGCCAGGCTTGCCAGGTCACGGCGGGGTCCCCGCACGGCCTCACACGTTCGGTTCGGGCTGCTTGTGGAGCGAGTGGACGCAGTGGACGACGCCCTGCCCGGCCCGGCGGCCCGCTCCGAGTTCATCGCTCCTAATGTGCCGCCGTCGGCAGCCTCGGCAGCCCGGCCGGGCGTCCCTGCAGGAGGCCCTGAACATGGCGGGCAACGCGGCCGCACCCCGGGCGCAGCTTTTATCCCGGGATTCTTGACGCGCGGCGCCACACTGCACCTCGGCGTCGTGGAGTACAGTGGCGGCGACCTCGAGTCCTCGACACGTCGGCGTGCCGCGGCGCGCTCAGGTGAACTCGGACTGGGTGACGGCGGCGGGGTTATTGGCGGTGATAAATGGGCCTGCTGGCGCTACGCTGGCGCGGTGCTGGCGCCGGCGCTCCGTCTCTCTCGCACTCGCGGGCCGCTGGCTGAGGGTGCGAGAGAGACGGGCAGTGTTCGGCGCGCCGCGTGTGCCGTCGTCCTTTCTACTGCACGTCCTTGGCGCGCCGCGGGCCGCGGTGTTCCAGTGTGCTTTTCCCCTTTCACATGTGTTGCAGTGCAGGCGGGCTCGGGCTGGCGGGCTGGCCCCGTGCAGCGCAGCGCGCCGCCCGCCCGCCGGGGACACTGGACACGTCGTCGCGCTGCCCCCGTGCGTCCGCGTGACGTGGCGGCGCGCCGCACCTCCCCGACGTGCGTCGACGGCGTCCCCGCGCACGTCAGCCGCACGTCAGCAGCACGCCACATGCCCGTGCAAGGAGCACGCCCGACCGCAAAGGAGGCGAGGCGGGTCACGGCCAGGCCGGGAGCCAGGCCGACCGCAGCGCTCTGACGGCATGCAGTCCGCGCCAGGTCTTTGTGTGAAGGGCTTTCGGGGCAGAACGTTCGCTTCGGAACCAGGTCGCGACTCTAGGGCCGCGCCCTTTTCTAGTGTAATCACCGCTCCACGATTAGGTTGCGATAAGAGCTGGTCTACTTAAAACCATTCAAACCGAGGAGCACTCTCCAACTTTGGGAACGCATGCGCCGCCACGCACTTTTCCCTGATTGGACGGAAAATTCATCCGCGAACGGTGAGCGGGCCGCCGCGGCGCGTTCAAACGCCCCGCCCCGCCGCGGCCGATTTTATGACCGCTGCTATGAAAAATTACGACGGCCTTTGCGAGTGCCGCAATAACAACTGCCGAGACGCGTGTACCGCTTACCGCTTTCGGAAACAGCGGCGCGGCCGTTCCATTCCGAGAGCGGCACGCGCTTCTGTCGTATTACCAACTAGTTGGGAATGGAACGGAGCTACCCCGTGCGCGAGAGACTCTCCCAAAGGTTTGCACTGAGTTGCTGACGCGCGGGTTCGATGACCCGCCGCCCAAACACGCCCTCCCCGTAAAGACGGTCGCTGCGAACGGTACTCACAGGTCATCCCAAGGGCGAGCATGACGCCGAAGCCCACCATGATGGCGAGGAGCTGGCAGACGCCGCTCTGCTCGGAGGCGCGCTCGCGCTGCAGGATCTCGAAGAAGACGACGTAGAGCAGTGTGCCCGCCGCCATGCCCTGCAGCACCACGGCGGCCACGCCCTCGCCGGCGCCGGGGTCCGCGCCGAGCAGCAGGCCGGCGGCGATGCCGATGGGCGACACCACGGCGAAGGTGGCCACGTACACCAGGATGAGCGACAGGCGCGTCCGCGACGTCACCAGCTCCACGCCCACGCAGAACGCGATGACGAACTTGTGCGTGGCGATGGCGCCGAACAGGTACCACACGTTGCCCGGGCTGGACTCGAGCCCGACGGCCAGCCCCTCGAACACGGCGTGGAAGGACAGCGCCAGCACGGTGAGGAAGCCGCGCATGGACTTGGGGACCACCTTCGCCTTGAGCTGGCCGTGGTGGTGGTGGTGCAGGTGGCCGTGCGCGTGGGCGTGCGCGTGCATGTCTGGCGCCGGGAACGACGCGGTGGAGCCGAGGTGGCTGCCGAGCGGCGAGGAGCCGCCGTTGATGAGGCCCTCCGTGCTCGACGTGATGCTCTTCCGGGCCGCGTCCACGCGCGGCGGCGTCGCCACCACGCCGGCCTCCAGCGGGCCGAGCGGGCTCTGCTTGGCGGGGACGCCCGGGGCCAGGATGGCGCGGGGGATCATCTGGTTGGGCCCGCCCATGTTGTGGTGGCGCTGCAGGCCCTCCTCTGCGTTGTTGTTGCAGCGGCGCAGGCTCATGGTGCGGTGCACCACCACCACGTCCTTGTCGTCCTCGTCGTGGTCGTGGCCCGCGCGGCCGTCCAGCATCAGGTGCACCAGCTCCTCCACGATGTACACCAGGAAGAAGCCCGCGCAGAACGTGAGCTCGGCGAGGTGCATGTCCTCGGCGGGGAGCTTGCCCGCCTCGCGCAGGGCGTCGAAGCCTTGCCGCACCTCGGGCTGCAGGTGCACGAACGTGGTGTACAGCAGCACGCCGCCGCCGAAGCACAGCAGCAGGGAGATGACCAGGGCGTGCGCGCGCGCCCGCTTGCCCGACATCATGTCGTCGCCGAAGTGGAACCACGAGGCCAGCTTGACGGGCAGCACGCCGATCAGGAAGGACACCAGCCCCAGCACCACCATGGACACCACCTTGGCCATGATGAGGTCGTGGGGCGCCATGCCGCGCAGTGGGTCACCCGATGCGTTCCGGATGCCACCCATCACGTGGACATGGTCGTGGTGGTCGTGGTGATCATGGTGGTCGTGGTGATCGTGGTCCATGGTCAGGCCGTAGTCCGAATGGCTAGCGTTTCCTCGCAGGACTGATCGTCCTCACAGCCGCGTCACCTGGAACAAGCAACAGCACCATTTCGGTCAGACGCGTGGGTAACAACATGGTAACCCTGCCGCGAACGCGCTGGACCAGCGAACGCCGTCGGCCCGTCAGCTTGACAGTGTACCCAACCCACAACTCTTTGATCCGCGTTGAGGTCGCGACTGGGCCACACGTCGGCCGCCACCGTGGCTTTGAATGGTGGACAGGGAAGTCCAGGGAGGGGGGAGGCTTTATTATTCACTTGTCCGATGACAACAGTTTCTGCCACACGCACACACACATACACACACACACACGCTCGCGTCAGCGGCGCTTCCAGGCGGGAAATGCCTAAATGGGGGCGTCCTCGGTTCGACCGCTCACTCCATGGGGCCTCCAAGGTCTGGGCCTCGGTCCAAGGACTAGCCTAGAAACTAGGCTGAGCTCCGTGACACTACAACAAAGGTTGAAAATAGAAAAGATCATGCGTTCTGAAGACGGGAGCCATTTTTCAAGTGTTCTTATAAATGCCGTCAGTTCATCCCCCGAGGAGGAAGCCAGACCGGTCGGGCGGTCGCGTGGGTCATCCCTAAGGCCTGCAGGCTGACTCCGAGAGTCGTCGTTTTCGTCGCTGTCTCTCGCATCCACGCCGGACGCCCCAAGAGTGCGAGAGAGACAGAGCGACGAAAACGACTCTCGGAATCAGTCTGCTGGAGCCCTAAGCAGGGCCCTCCTACGTCACCGCGCCAAACTGCCTGCACACAAACAGGCGGCCATCCTCGTTGACCTTTCGGGCCTCCCGAGTCGCTCCGAGTGGAGCGAGAGAGACAGACGGATTGGTCCCGACGACTTCCACGCACCGTGACGCCCGACCTATTCCCGCCTGGACAAGCAATGAGCCGGGCCGGGCACGGCAGCCGGCAGCGCGCTTTCCAGAAAAAACCGTTCGCACTCGTCGTCGCCGTGGCCGTCAAGGCCCTCGCGGCGGAGTCCTTGGCGCGCCCTGCAGGGCATGCCCTTCGGCCTCCATCGCGCGCTGCTCGGCGTGCTCGGCGTGCTTCGCGATGAGCGGGAAGTGCGCACTCAGCCGCACGCGCTGCCAGCGCGCTGCCCTGCAGGCCTGCAAGCTCACTACGTACACTGCAATCTGGCGACCATTACCAGTCCTTGGCCCGGATGCAGGGCCTCCCGGCCGCAGTGCGCAGGCGAGGTGGACGCGAGCAGAAACAATACGTATGCCCCGCGCCGCCCCGCCGCGCCGCCCCGCCGCGCCGCGCCACCCCGGCGGCCAATGGACGCGTTTCGCTGAGGCAATAACACCCGATTGGGCCGGGGCGCCGGGGCGACAGACTGGGCTTCGTGAGGTCACATCAGTGATCGGGATGGGGCGCTTGTTGGCGTCGCGTCGAGCACGCGTCAGTCTCGGCCCCACGCCGTCGGACTGACGGCCTCCTCGACCGAGGCCCCCGATGCAGTTACAGACGTCCTCGTCTCTCCCCCCTCCCCCCTCCCCAAGAACATACTGCCGTATCTGCAGCGCGCAGCTGCCGCAGTTGCCCCGGGCGTGTTCGCCGCGACCCCTAAGATTTTTGTTTTGACGGCGGCGCGTTGGAAAGCCTCCAGCCGGGGGGGGGGGGGGGGGGGGGGAGGCAGCAGCGCCACCATCAGCATGCACCATGCACTGCCAGTGATGCACTTCCGATGCCCCGTGGTGCCCGTGGTGTTCGTGGTGTTCGTGGTGGTTCCGGGGCCGCCACGCCAGTGACGCCAGGCCAGACAGCCCGGTGCCGGCCGATACCTCGTTACTCCGTGTTCCGCTTGACGGACTCCGGGGAGAAGATCCCCGCACGGCACGGTGCACTGATTCATACTCACTCACTCACACACACACGCACACACACACACACAGACACACTTGGTGCTCCGGTTACGTCCGAGGCACGCGGCATCTGATGTTGTCGATGTTAGCTTTAGCCGGTTCTCATTGCGGCCGCGCTTCCGTGGTCTCGACAAAAAGAAAACAATTTTCGAATGTAGCCGAGAGGAGGGAAACAAAACGAAAGTGATTACGGCACCGGGAGAAGGGACAGCCATGGCCTGCAAGCAGCGCAAGCAGCGCAAGCAGCGCAAGCAAGCAGCCAAAGCAGTGTGGCGGCGCGATGCGCGCGGTTCGCGATGCTTGGGCGCCGATTGGCGGTCGGTTTGGTTCGAACCGCTGCGAACCGCGTGGAAACACTGACCCCCGAACGGCACGGGGCCCATCGCAGTGCACACGCTAGTTGCCCGAAACGATCCGTCACTCCATTGTGGCTCCACGACAGTGGGCCAGTGGACTGGCGGAGGCGGTCAAAACCCCGGACGCGTTTTGAGCTCCAGAGTCGCTAAATGGGACTCGAACACAACTTGCGACCCCGCCAATGGATTCCTCGTTTGGAGAGCAATCCATTGGTGGGGTCACACGTTCGGTTCGAGTCCTGTTTAGGAACTCTGGAGCTCAAAACGCGTCTAGAGCTTTGGCCGCCGGCGCCGGTCTTCTGGCCCACTGTGCGGCGGAAGGAGTCGCGTCTCTTCCCACGGATTACTCCACCGCCACGCCGCGGTGGCGTGGAGGTGCTAACGAAACCGAGGCAACAAAAGCACAACGAAAACAGATCCACGCGGATGAGCCGAGACGGGGCGAGGGAATCTGGAGGACGGCATTCCGAGCCTCCGTCTCCAACGAACGAACGACCAGGACCAACCAGGACCAGGCGTCGTCGCCAAAGTAATTTGGCAATAAGGCGGACCGAAAACCGAGAGTGGAGCCGGTACACTGAGACAAGGTGGTGCCAGCCGTTGGCTGCCGTTGGCGGCGGCACCGCGACCGCGAGGCCCCGGCGGATCGTGGGAACTCGGATGACGAAAAGGGGAGCCGGGGCAGTGGAGGGGCGGAGCGGTCGCGCCGCCAGTCCCCGTGTCCGAGTCTGGTCTGGATCTCTGGACCACGGAAGCTGCCACTGCCAGCGTGCTGGCAGGCCGAAGACAATTCTGGAGGCCACCCGCGACCCCCTCGCCCCCCCCTCCCCCCGGACCCCAGCCGAAAGGGGCCTGTTCGCGATAAAGTCCACTGTACTGCAGCCGCCACCCACCTGTCTGCAGACCGGCCAGCAGACTCATTCCGAGAGGCGTTTTCGTCGCTCTGTCTCTCTCGCACCTATACGGGACGTCCTGGGAGTGCGAGGGAGACAGAGCGCCGGAGTATCGGGACCAGTCTTCGCAAAGAGAATGGCGATGAACGGGCCGATGAACCAACTAACACAATGCGCCCCCTCCCCTTCTCTTCGCACGCGCCCCTGAGTCCCTGGTGCATAGGTCAATGAAATGGCAGCCTGGAGCCAGGCGAGCCAGGCCACCCAGCCCAGCCCGCCCGTGTAAATATAGGTCCTGGCCGCCTGCCTGCCAGCCCCGCCTGTCCGGCGCGCCGAAGCCTTCCAGCCTTCCAGCACGGGGCGCCGACGTGCACATAAAAGAGAGCGCCCCTCCCCGGGGAAGGGGGATGGGGAGGCGGGGTGGCAGGGCTGTTTTTAGGCCGGCGGCACCCCGCTGGCATTTACCAGCCGCTACAGTCGCTTCAGCGAGCATTTAGTCCGCCCCTTCAGCCTGGACAAGCGTGGGGTAGGCAGTGCCGCGGCACGCGCGTGCGCAGTGGTTGCCTACCCGACACTCCGCAGGCGCTAGAAGGGCTGAGGATTCTCGTTAGATTCTGCATCTATGGTAGGCAATACGGCAACAACTGTCACGTGCGTCGTGCACCCGCGGCCTGCCTGGCGCGCCGTGCCCCGCAGTGTGCCTGCAGTGCGATTCGCATCGTCTCTCTCTCTCGCACTCACGGGAAGACGCAGACAGCGCCCCGGGCCGGCAGCTAATTGCGGCTTGTCAGCGCGGCGTATGAATGAGATTGCTAGACCGGCTAATGGCAGCCGGCCCGCAGAGCGATTCCACTCTGTCTCTGTCGCGCTCGCGAGGCTCCGTGAGGGTGCGAGAGAGACAGAGCGAGGGGAAAAACTGCCGCCGACCCATCCCATCGCCAGTGTGCCGCCGGAGTGCGCGGTCTTCCACCTTTAATAGGCGCTGTGCTGCCTTGGGGGGGGGGGGGGGGTTTGGCGGCATGCGGCGTGCCGCGGGCCGACAACGGGACCACGCCGGACCGCGCGCCGCACGCGTCTCGCGTCGTCCGCCATCCCCGCCGTGGACCCGGCCGACCCGGTGCCGGGGTGCGACCCGACCCGTCGTTACGCAACAGTGACACAACCTCAAAACACACCGAGGTTTCAAGGACAGCGCAGCACACTGAACACTGCCACAGTTCCAGGCCCGTCGTCCGGCTGGTTTTTGTGACTCGGCTCGCTGTGCAGCGTCGCCGGCCACTGGGGAGGACAAGGACGGGAGCGGTTCCCTGCGAGGCTGTCTGGTCCAGATCGCCACGGGACTACGGGGCAAGGACTTCCCCCGCGACGACCCCACGCGGCGAACGCACATGGCAATCACTTTGGGCACACACGCAAACGCGCTCACACACCGTTTACTCCATTCGCGTTGCACTAGTGCTGGGCTCGACACCGAGGGTTCGGGTCGCGGACGGTCACGGCACACACGCGGCGGTCGCGGCACGGCCGGCGGGGACGCTGCGGGACCGGTGGCGGCGCGGTCGGCTCGTTCGGGGGGCAGCTGGCGGCGCACTGAGGAGCCGCGCTAGAGCCGCGGCGCGCCTCGTGGCCGCGTGGGACCCCCCCCCCCTCCCTCCCGCCGCGTGCGGTCAGCCGGCGCCGCTCCGGTGTGTCCCTCGTCCCGCACCGGCCGGGCTGGCCGGGCTGCCGGGCCGGCCGAGGGTGAGGAAGACGAAGACGGCCTTATTGGGCTGCCGCGCTGCCGCTCGGATGCTGCTGGACGGATGCGTAAGTGAGGGAGAAAGCTCTGCCGCCGCGGTTGAGCACGTGCGCGCGCACGTGGGCACGCACGCCGCGGGGCAGGGCGGCCCGGCGACGACGGCAAA